GACACACGTCAGACTCCACTAGGGGGGTAAGATTGAAACATTGTCCAAAACGTAGCCAGAGTTCCCTATCAGCGTCAGTGCCAATACGATCTTCCATCACCCCCACTGAATTTGTTCGATGATCTGGGAAGGCTAGAGGAAGAAATCGAGGCTTCGTTACGATCTTTCGGGTCATCTTCGTACGGTAACTTGAACGTTTCGAGAAACTTAAACTTCGCAGACTCTTGCAAGGCCTCGAAGACCGGCTTTAGGTTATAGCAGTCTGAATCCGTGGAGGGGACAAAGAATCGACTCCATTGTTCAAACGCTAAGCCTGATGGGGTTGGTGAATCCATGATGAGATCTCTGCGTCTAGGGTGGTCGTCCAAGTGATGGTGCGCTGGTTTGCTGGGAAAGGTCGCTGGAAATCAAGCCTTCTTCTCCGAATTACGGAATCTTTAAAGACGTGAAACTGCTCCGAGATGTCCGCAACAACATTTGAGTGAAGACAATTCCGCATATTGAAATTTGTAAGCTCTAAATTTACTTGCCGCGTGCAAGTATTTAGCGCAGAGCGAGTAGCTATAGTCACTGTTAGGTGACAGATAGAACGAAGCCTACGAGCGTTAGTTTAGTGAGGAAGGCTGCTCAGCAGAGCGTATATTCCAGAATGAATAACTTTCTGTGTTGCAACATTACCTGTCTCTTCTTCTCTCATCTTTCTCACACAAGGACCACACATTTAGCAATAACCCTTTTGGGACAAAAACAAACCGTCTCCATAGAGAGCCAGTACATCGCAACAAATTTTAACGGGCCCTTAGGGCCGTTCTTAGCCGATTTCTTGCCAGTGGATGAAAGTTAAGGTGGATGGTACTTTTGTGCTTGATTCGGCGAAGAACAAACTTAAAACTAGTGGATGGCCTTAGTGGCTAAGGTTGAAGGAGGGGTGGTTGACATCTAATATTAGCTTATAATTGCGATGTATCACTTTGATCGCTTTGCATTTGTTCTCTTCCACTATCGCAACGAAATGCGCACACCCAGCGAGATCATAGCGATCACTCGTCGTCTTCGCGATCGAGCCAACGTCCAAACGATACTGTTGCTGTTCGTTCTATTGCAAGCACGAACACGGAACTCGCGCTACTCGCGTCATCGCATCGATGTTGATCTCGAAATTGAGATGCTGTTGAATAAAAACATGTTCGAGCGAACCTTTCGAATGACTGCCGACAGTGTTTCGTACCTGTTGGGGCTCTTTGGCCCTTTTTAACGATACGTAGCTGCCGAAGGTAACACTCTGTCCGAAGTTGTTTAGCTCCAAATGCCATCAGACACGATTCGGCTTCCTCTAGATTTATGGTGCCGTTGTACATGACATCACTAATAGTCGATGCAGTCGCGGGAATGCCGCCGTCAGATGTAGCGGTAGCTGGAGGTGCCGTAGGTGAAGGCAAACCAGGAGACATAACGGAGGAGGAGGACATGGCGATAGATTGACAGGGGACCGTTGGTTGCTGATGTGGACTGATTGCTTCAGGAGACTTGATGGAATGAGCTGTATCAACTCCAGCTAAAGGTGTCGTTCTATCCCGTCAGGTATGTCTACCTTCCGTCCACGGCCACCAACCCTAATTCTACACAGTGGACGTGGATCAAACGGACCATACGGCGTCCACTGTAATATGGATCCAAGTGAAATGATTGGGCCATGGAAGCATAATCCACCGTTATTTTTTGGCTAAGAACGGCCCTTAGAGTCTTATACTGCGTGTTGAGATCTGCGTTAAATTTATCATTAGCGTTTAGTTCGTAGCAGAGGTCGCAAACGTAATTTTCCGGCTAGCCGTACCCGCCCGAAAGCCCTGGTCATCGAGTTTCGGATGACCATGGCCAACCGTACGGACCGTTCGGCCAACCATGGCTGGCCGAAATTAGCGATCGGCTAGCGGAAAATTACGTGTAATTTATGTATAGAATGAAAAGGTGAAATACAATTTTCTTATTCAATATTTCCGCTCAAAATAAGCTGCACGCAACCTTCTCTCGGTTGAAGGCGCGAGCCGTCGCCAAAATTCTTTAAAAAGAAAAAGATGCAAAACAACTTCGAATATCCATCCTCTGGTGAGCTCGGTCAACCATAACCAACCCATCCTAGAAATCGGTTGCCCGTACCCGTCCGTTTTTCAAAGAGGCAAAATTTCGATTAGCCATACCCGTCCGTGGTTACGGTTAGACATTACCCGAACGGGTACGGTTAACCATTTGCGACCTCTGATTCGTAGTCACCCGATGGTCTTGAGCTAAACAAATCTGAGCACGAACCGCTTCCTTCCATTGCGCACCTCCGGCGTCTGTCCGTAGCAGCGCTTAAAGCAATCAACAGCGCTATTAAAATACTCGCGTTCCAAACAACAAGATTCGTATCGAGTAGAGAATGTGTAACGGGGCTACACGCAAGTGGCTACACATAGTCAATTGGTTACGCTTCCACATTGGTGTGAGATACTGTACACCAATGGCTACATTTGGTAGACATGCATTCAATGCATTCATTGGCTGGAAGTCAATATCCTCAACCAATTAGAATAAGAGGATTCTGTCATCCAATCGTTGATAAATACCTTTCGTTTAGAATATTATACAAGGAGGAAAACCCAAGCAAACAAATAAACAGAGTAAATTTGAAAGAATTTAAAAATTGACGTGTAAGTTTTTGCAGCTCAAGAAATATTACAAAATGAAGCGCTGTTATTGGTACCTTCTTTGAAATCCCCTTATGGTGCTTGAACATCTTCGGTTGCATTTTGCAGCCACACAACCGGTTCCAGCATGCTGGCGGTGCGACGTCGGGGGCTGCGCGTCCTTGCAGTGGCTCCACTGCGCGTGCGCGGGCTCGCTACAACCTCGACGGAATTCATGGAGGGCGAGGCACTCACGCCTAAAACAGTGGGACCTTATATGTCGGAGCGGCTGGAGGAGTTCAGACCCGAACGCATCCGCAACTTTAGCATCGTAGCGCACATCGATCATGGCAAATCGGTGCGTTCCAGACGCTAAAACGTCAGAATGGCGTCTATTTTCATTGGATTAATTGACAAAAAATGACGGAATCAACGTGTAGACACTGGCGGACAGGTTGCTGGAGTCAAGCGGCAATATCTCGCGACAGGAGCGTGAAAGCGCCCAGTTCCTCGACAATTTGAAGGTGGAGAGGGAACGAGGAATTACCGTCAAGGCACAGACAGCGTCAATGCTCCACAGAGACTCCAAGACTGGGGAATCATTCATGCTCAACTTAGTGGACACTCCAGGGCACGTGGACTTTAGCTACGAAGTGAACAGGTCGCTTTCGGCTTGTGAAGGAGTGCTGCTATTGGTGGATTGCTCGCAGGGCATTCAGGCACAGACGCTGGCGACCTATTACGCCGCAAAAGAGAGGAATCTCCACGTTGTGCCAGTGTTAACCAAGATCGACATGCCTCACGCTGAAGTGGACGATAGTATTCTGAGTTTATCGTCGCTATTGGACGTGGACCCGGATGAAGTTCTCTTAACGTCGGCAAAAAGCGGCGATGGCATTAACGATGTTCTACCAGCAGTAGTAGAGCGACTACCGCCTCCGGTAGAGTGCGACCCTGCTGCGCCTTTGAGGTGTTTGCTGGTCGATTCGTACTACGATGACTATCGAGGAACCGTCTGCTTGGTGAAGGTCGTAGACGGCGCAATTTCTCCGGGGGACAAGATCTACAGCGCTCACCAGAAAACGAAACATGACGTTCAAGAGACGGGCCTCTTACTCCCGGGACGATACAAAACAAAAGGGCTGTATGCCGGTCAAGTTGGCTACATTATTGCTGGCATGAAATCGACCACCGAAGCCAAAGTAGGAGACACGTTCTTCCGCGAAGGAGCTGCATCTGCTGACCTCAAGGCGCTTCCGGGCTTCCAGGAGGCGCGTAGTATGGTCTTTGCGAGCATGTACCCTACCGATGACTCGAGCTTCGACGAGTTGCGCGTGGCTATCGAGAAACTCACGTTGAACGACGCGAGTGTGACGGCTCAGCAGGAAACTAGTGGCGCTTTGGGCATGGGATTCCGCTGTGGTTTCTTAGGATTACTGCACATGGAGGTGTTCCATCAACGTCTCTCGGACGAGCAGGGCATACAGGTGATGGTCACAGCGCCGATGGTACCGTACACTGTGATCGACCCGAACGGCGAGCACTTGACTGTGGAGACTCCCGGTGCGTTCCCTGAATCGACCAAGTACTACGAGATCCTGGAGCCCATGGTGGAGGCCTCGATTATCACCCCTGCGTCGTACTTGGGCCCCGTGCTGGCACTTGCCAAAGAGAAGCGTGGCGTTCAGACGAACCTCGTTTACCTGGAGGATGAACGAATTATTGTCACCATTGACGTGCCATGGCAAGAGGTGGTTACCAACTTCTACAACGAACTCAAGACAATATCGTCCGGTTATGGTGAGTAGTTAAAATCATATCGATATGCTGTTTGTTGCTGTGTTCTAACATTGTCTGTGTGTATTGTCTCTCGAAGCAACGCTGAACTACCGTGAGATCGAGCCACAGAAGGCGGATATTGTCAAAGTGGACTTGCTGATTAATGGGAAAGTGCTCGATGCGCTCTCCTTCGTGTGTCACCGCAGTCGAGCCACACCGGATGGACGTGCCCTGTGTCAAAAACTCAAGCGTGTGATCGACAGACAACAATACGAGATCTCAATCCAGGCGGCTTTGGGCGGCAAGATCTTCGCAAAGGAGCGGATTGCGCCGTACCGCAAGGACGTGCTTATCAAGTCGGGGAAGACTGTGGGGGGAGGAGATAGTACTCGGAAGAAGAAGCTGCTGGCGAAGCAGAAGCAGGGCAAGCGTCGCATGAGAACTGTGGCCAATGTGCAGCTCTCGCAAGATGCTTTCTGGTCCGTGCTTTCCAAATAGCAATAGCAATAGATCCACTCTCATTGACTCCTCAAGATTAAAGCGTGACACTTTTGCTCCTTAGATGTTGTCGTAGCTGGCAGTTCAAACGTCAAACGTGTCGTCGTACCTGCAACTCAAACGCATTCTTTGACGTCGTAACTCATATAGCTCATAACGCTTCTTAAAATCAGAGTTCACCAGCTTCACGATCATTTTACAACGCTGAACCGGGGCAGCGCACTGCTGTGTTTTCATTTATTGGATTAATTGAAAGCTACCTCCTACGTTACCTGGTTCTAGCAAAAGCAAATTGGCATATTAGAGCATCGGTTATGTTCTTATTGTCCTGGTAGTGCAATTTCGAACAGCCCAAAACTATTTGGTCTTGGCTTTGATTCGTTTTATAAGGACGTTTGTATGCGCTAAAATTAAAATTAAGGAACACACACCAAAGACGGCCGAATTAACCGCACCAAGTCTGTATTCTAAGGCCGTGTTCGGTTTGCAGGGGCAAATCCAGCTTGTTTGAAAATAAGCTAGAGCTGTAGAACAGTCGTTTTTCCTCCTTCGGACATCACTGCTAGGGGCAAGTTGACTTGATTAGCTTGAAGAGTTAGACTCGTTGGAGTTCCTAACCTAAGGTCCTCCCACGGGACAAAACCTTATCGAAGGTGAAAAACCCGTCCTAGAAGGACCTCCTACTTAGCTAATCAAACTAGGAGGAGAAGAATTTTTTTTTCCTGGCAACCTGGTTGCTTCTTCTCGGTAGCTCTGCGCTACTTGGTCGTCCGGTGCTCTGAGCTCTGGGCGGCGAATCGGTGAATGGTCTGGATTCGCCGTTCGCTCCGGTTCGGAAAAGCCCGGGTTACGTTCTTCGTACTTAACCGAACACTTTCCCTCCTTCGGACATCACTGCTAGGGGCAAGTTGACTTGATTAGCTTGAAGAGTAGACTCGTTGGAGTCCCCTCTCGATTGGGCGGAGATGCAATGAGAGAGGATGCCGGACGTGGCATTCCCAAGTCGAGGCCTTGAGTCATACAACTTGCCGCATCCCGGATCATTCCTGGTCTTAGTCTGGTGTACACTGTGAAGCACCAACTGGACCACCGTCCCATTAGTCGGATGACTAGTTCGCTTTTCCCCGCTGCGAGCAGTGCACACGCTCCTCCGATGCGGAGAGAGTGGGCCGAATAGTCCTTCCTTGAGCGTCCCATGCTTGGAGCTGCTGCCTTGATCGCCTCACTCACACGAGACTTCTTGATTGTGCGTGTTGTTGACACCGACGTCAAATATGGACCCAGGGTCCGACCAGATACGAGCCACTCGGCTCGAATTCTTAAACACTGTTGGGCCGCAATAACTGGACACAGCACCTGGTGCTCGGTTCTGTAGTGGCGGACCGTGACGCCTTGCGCCCTTTTGTCTCCCTTGTGAGAGTCATATACCACCTCTACTGAGGCCGCCCTTGGGGCTTCGTATCCAACCTTGTTTCCACTCCGATCTCGTATAACCACGTTGGCTGCCTTCACACAGTGGACCCTGTCTGATCCAGTGGAGCTGTCCACAACTATTGGTCCCCAGAGATCTGAGCTCCTGTCGAGGAAGAAGAATCCCAGAACGATGGATCCCCACAGCATTTGACCTTCTGGGTCATGGTGGTCTATGAGTTCCCACATCTTGAGCAACATTGGTGTAGTAACTGGCTGTTTCCGATCCACTTGACTGTGGGTACGTTTGTAACCCTTAGCGATAGCCTCAAATTCCGGATCATGGTAATTGAGTCGGCTGTTCCGAACGACTTTGTGTGCGAATGCCACAGCTGCCATCTTTCCTTCGAATGTCTGGTACTTGTTTCCTTTCCTCGCTCGGTTGTGCCCTTCTGAAGCGCACAACGCTGCGAATAATCCAACCACCCTCGCTTGTCGTGCCCTGGGCAGTTCGTCAATCCACACGGGAAAACCAAACTCGTTGCAGAAGGATTCCCAGAACTCGAAGTTCCTACTGTACCGTCCAAGCGTGCCTTCTGTGATGGACGCACGCTTGAGCTGATCCCGTTTAGCCTCGACTTCCTGGAGTCTGGTTGTACCTTTTTCATACCACGTGTATTAGTTTCTGTATGAACATCGCACCTCGGAGTCTGCTCCATCCTTCGACTCAGAGTGTGTGTCGTGAAATGAATCTTGTAACGAGCCTGGATCGACGTAGGTCGTGCTGTCCGACAGGCGACTTGCAATTCATACTTTCGATCATCCTGGTGATCCAGCGACTGCTGTGAATCATGACGCGGCACCAGGTGCCTTCGACCTTCAGCTTCTGTCCCCACACGTATGTTACCGTAGCTAACGCCGCAGCTATTCCCCCACCGTCCAGGACGGGGTCCTCGAATTCGACATGATACCTTTCTCTGAGGTGCATGTTTGTAATTGTCACCTCGTTTGTATCTGCTTCCACCAGCCATACCTCATCATAGCCCGAGTCCTTCTCAAACAGTTTCATTGGCAAGCCTGCAAACTCGTTCTCGAACACCAAGTCGTTCCACCACAGTAGGTCCTTGTGAAGGAATGCTGACATTGGAACTCCTCGCTTGCCCTCTTTCCGACACCGGTTCTGAACCGCTGTCAAACGCTGTATGAACGGCTTAGTGATGGGCATGAAGCTGATGACATGGCGTAGAACACCTATGAGGCTGTCCAATCGTTTTATGGATATGTAGGACTTCCCAATCGCTTCAGCTAACATCGCATGTACCTTGTCGATCTTGCGTTGAGGTACTGTGATGCACTCGTCTGGAATGTTCCAGTCGATCCCCACCGCATGGAAAACGCGCGACCAGGTCGTGAACTTGCCCTCATGCCATCCATCTGATCCAAACACGAGTTTAACTCCGTCTCTGAGACGTTTCTCTGCTTGTTGAAGTCGATCGCCAAAGTCGACTTCGATAAGGACGATGTCGTCCACCCACTGGAAGATCCAGAATGGTTCAGTGTGGCCAAGCAGTATCGATAATCCTGTGCGCTGATAATGGCGGACTGCTTTCCCGAACACCGCGAAGAATCCAGGGGAGGACGTCCAACCGAAAACAGCCATACCGGAAACTATGCCATGAGGACTACGCGGCAAGGAGCCCCCAAAAGCCGATGCATGACGCGCGTGGACCGGCACGTGGTGAAATGCATCGGCGATATCCGCGACCATGGCGTAGATGTTGCACCCTGGGTACCGCCGACGGAGGTCGCAGACTCTGCGAGCTATAGAAACAAACGGATCCCACGTTGCATCCGGCGACGCCTCAGAGGCAGTCTGAGCGTTGACCGACTGGCCGTTCGGAGCCGACAAGTCGTGAATGATACGACCATCCACGTGAAGAGGTTTGTCCTTCTTGGGGACCAGGGCGAACGCGCTGGACTGGAATGTCGGGTCCTGTACCAACGTAGACATCCGAGCGACCAGGCAACGTCCTCTGTAATAGTCTGAGAGCAAGTTGTCCTGGACAATTTCGGCACCCGTATCGGCGCCTGGGTAGTTCGCAGGAACTGGTCGTGTGCCCGCCCGCGATGTCGGGTCCTTCCACGGTGGAGTCAAACCCTCCTGGGCGATTTGACAGAGTAACGTAAGTTCCGGGTACGACCCAAGATACTCCTGATACAACCACGGGCGTAGCGCTTTGTTCGGGCGGTAGTCGTCCGAAGTCTGACCGCGAAAGAGTTCGAGCGTACCGGCTATCCCCAGCTGGGGGTCGGCCACGAGCGCATCCAAAATGCGGAGGTCGACCTCTGGAATAGACAACGGGCCCGGCCCAGCTGCTAAGAACGCGGTCCCCAACGGGAATGGTATGTGCCGACGGGAGGCCTCGGCCTGGAGCTGGGCAAACACGCTCGCCGGAACGCAGCGTCGAAGCCCTAGGACAACGCACGACCGGGTCGGAGCTGTGTCGAATCGGGACCACATCGAGCGGGCCGATGTTTCCACCCTCTGGGATGATTCTGGAAGTCGAACTGGCGGGTGTATAGGTCGATCCGCCGAGGTCGGTGCGAGCCGAAGCCGAATCAGGTGTGAGACGGACATGAACTCCTGGAGTATGAGGGACCAGGGCCGCCAATACGTACTTCCTCGGACTGGCCTCGACCGAGGCAACTGATGGGTAGAACTGGGTCAGCGTAGCGGGGCTCTGAGCCGGCGCGTATGACGGCTGGCAAGGCCACTCGGATCCGGTTAAGATGACGTCCGCCGCGGAAGTCGTATCCATAATCCAGTTGCACAAAGCGTCAGACGCGATGTTGTACGCACGGCGCACGTGTTGGAGATAGAACGCAGTATGTCCGGCGCCCAGGGCGCGGATGGCCCCGATCCAGGGTCGGAGCGAGGGTGCCCGGCACCTATTGAGCATCAGTGCCTGATTGATGACGACACTAGAATCTCCGAAAACGTAGGTATGGCAGTTCGGAAAGGCAAAACGGATTCACAAGAGGCATGCGAAGAAACCCTGGGCCTCCATCACGTTGTTTGTACGTGCCGTGACGAACGTACGAGCTTCCCAACGAAGGAGAGTGTGGGAATCCGACCACACACACCAGGCGTAGGAGCTACGGCCACTGACGGCTCGGCACCCCCCGTCGAAAGACGCGAAAATCGTGGGTCGCGCAGGAGGCGGTGGCGGCCCCTCCGGCCTGGAGTCCGACTCCGATAAGTTGATGACTGCCAAGCCGCAGCCAGGGATTACGCCGTCCGATGACGCCGGTTGGACACCAGGTGTCCGGAAATCGCACGAGCCGGTGTCAGACACCGATGGGCTGGTGGTTTCGACTGCATGGGCAGGGGTGATAGCGTCCGATGACACCGTACGGGCACCAGGTGCTCCGAAATCGCACGAGCCGGTGTCAGACACCGATGGGCTGGTGGTTTCGACTGCATGGGCAGGGGTGACAGCGTCCGATGACACCGTACGGGCACCAGGTGCCCCGAAATCGCACGAGCCAGTGTCAGACACCGATGGGCTGGTGGCTACCACTGCGTGTGC